GCCTCCTGGGAGCAGCCCCTGGACAGGCTTGAGGCAGGTATGGGAATGTGTCCCAATGACCATGGAGGTCCCTTCCAGACCTGGGACTGTGTGACTTTGTGGATCCGTCCTGGCAATCTCAAAGTGCATCCTAGGCTGGCATTTGATCCAACAAGATAGTATGTTGTTCACAAAATCTATATGCCAAGACTTCTAGTAGACTATTTTGCAGGTGGGAGCAAAGACATTGGTTGGTGGCTTGGTTTTACAGAAACACTCACTACCCCGATGTGGTGCTCTGCTCACTCGGGTCCAGCTGGGGTTCTCCAAGTGTCTTCTCTCAGACCAGGTGGGATTGTGGGAGCCACCCCAGCAATGTCATGGCCTGTTTTGAGATGGACTCTGCCTCGGTTGGCCTCAGTTATGTTCAGATTCACCACCCAAGTGCCACAGGCTTTGGGAGTGGAGGAGAGGTGACGAGCTGAGAAGACTCCCATGGGATATACCTGCCATGGAAACCAGAGCAATTTCTTCCACATCAGTTGGAGCTACTTGAGATGGGGCACAGGTGCTATATTAGCTGAGAGAAAATACAGTTGTTTGTGAAACTAGATTTATTCATGTATTTAACAAATACGTTTACATTTTATAAAATATTTCAAACAAACAGCAACATCAAAATAGACAATAATATAACAAACAGCAGTAAACCCACCACCCCACTTTAAGAAGTTTTCAACACATAGAGATGTAAAGTACAGCATAGGGAATATAGTAAATAATATTGTAATAACTATGTATGGTGCTAGGTGGGTATTAGACTTATCGGGGGATCACTTTGTAAATTATATTAATGTCAATTCACTATGCTGTACACTTGACACTAATATAAAATAATATTAAATGTCAACTGTCATTGACAAATTTTAAAAATATTTCAACAAATATAGTGGTAACCTGCATAGCCCTGCACAATCAAAAGTCCCTCCCCGACTTCTAGAGGAGGCCATTGTCCTGAACTTGGTGTTAACATTCTACAGTTGTTATCTGAGCACCTACTGTGTGTCAGGCAGAGTACGGGGTACTAGCTAGATTTACCTGGATGAACAAACCAGACGAGGTTCCTGCCCTCACAGGGCTTACCGCAGGGTTAGAGGAGAACCCAGTCCCTCTCTTACACTCCTTCAGTGAGTTCCAGTCCTTGGTTATAGAATGCTCACAGTCCATCTGGGGCAGTGACGAAGGCAGAGGGAGAAGTCTTGACAGCTGCCCTGTCACTAGCCTTGTGATTTGGGGCGAGTTCCTTCTGCTCCCTGAGTTCTAGCATCTTTGTCTGTCACACGTGGGCTTTGAACTGGATGCTGCTCAAGGGCCCCTCCAGCTCTGTGAGCATGGGAGTGATGGGGGAGCCTTAACCAGAGTCACCCATGGTCGCCACCACCACTCGGTCAGGTGGAGAAGGTGAGGTGGAGCTTTGCCTTCCATAAAGGGGGAGGCATGCCCCAATGCATGGGCTGAGGGGTGGGGCTTATGTCAAGTGCGGGGGACACAAATCACTAGTGAAACATGAGGTGATTTTAGAGGAAAACATGGGTGAAATTCTTTCTTTTATTAGTAATTGATTTAATTCAATAAAACCTTAGAGTGGGCAGTTATACTAGTGATCCTTATTGCTTAGGATGAGATGATCTTTTAACAAGTCAATGCAAATTAAAATACTACACAAATAACAGTACAGATGGTATGTGTTTCTGGCAAAACTTGGCATGGTGGTCACCAAATGGCACAGTGTTTCCCAAACAAGAACTAATGATGCAAAGGGTGGGGCCCACCTGGCATCTGAGAAGCCAGCAGAGCCAGCCCAGTGCTGGCACGTTGGAGCCCAAGAAGCATCGGAGGAATGACTTAACGAATGGCTCCCTATTGAAAACAGCACGGGAGAAATTCCCTTCAGATCTCAGTGCCAAGGAGAGCTTTGCTTTTCCTGGGAACAGGTGTGTTTATCGTCAGGACACTGAGAATGTGCGATTAAGTGCGTTGTCCTTCTTTCTTTGGCTGCCAGGAAGCTGCACCCTGATCCCAGGGCCCAGAGCCACCTGTGGGGCCCCCTAAACTACCTACCCTTGCTCATCTGGCCCTCTGGTCTGCATTTCTGTCTTCCATCTCCCCTGTGTTGATTTATCATTTTTTAATTTCTGTGCTTATTTTGTTTTTGTAAACCACCTCAGATCCTCCATGGAATAAAGCGAGTTAAAATTGTTAAAAAACAAAAAAGGTATTAACTAATTAATGAAGTAATCAGTGCATGTACACACTGCCTAAGACCAAAGCATCCTTTCTTGGCTCAACTCAGCCTGTGGGTCTTCCTGCCCGGCGCTGCTTCCCAGCTAGAAGGATGCCTGGGTTAGATGGAGAGGAGGGCAAAGAGATTGGGTGGCCGTTGCCTGCTCTGCACCCTCAGATCTGATCCAGTCCAGCCCTGGGGACCCGTACCTTCTGTTGAGGCCACCTCAGAAATGGGATTGTCCCCTCAGACTCAGAATGGCAGGCCCAGCTGGTGGCTTTGCCACTCCTCTCTCCCACCAGAGAATCAGGTCTGGGCTCTCTCTTCCCCCGAGGACCATGCAAGTGCAGTCCCCATGTGTGACTGGTTCCACCGCTAGTTCTGTAACTGGCCTCCGACCGTCCTCACTGTGACCAGGCTCTCCCATCTGACTCCCACACTGTCGGACCACATGCTGTCCTGATGGCTCGTGGCTGCCCATGACCCTACAGGCAGTGCGGCCTCAGATCCCCTGGGGGCCAGGGGCCTTGAGATACATCCTGAAATGCTGATTTTTCTTAAAGCAAATGACTAAAGACATTATACCAAGTGAAAGAAGCCAGACACAAAAAAACACAGATTGTATGATTCCATTTATATAAAACTAGAGGCCTGGTGCATGGATTCGTGCACAGGTGGGGTCCCTCAGCCTGGCCTGCAAGGATCGGGCAGAAACCTCTAGTATGCATATAAGATCTTTGGTTAATCTCTTCCCACCCTTCCCCCACCCCCATTCCCTCCGATATTCATCAGTCTGTTCCATGTTTCCATGCTTGTGTGTTGAGCATCTGCCCCTTGGTGGTCATTGCATGTCATAGCTACTGGTTGGATGGTTGAATGGTCGGACAGTCACTTAGGCTTTTATATATATAGATGTCCAGAATAGGCAAATCCATAGAGACAGACAATAGATAAGTTGGTTGTTGCCAGGGGCTGGGGACAGGGAATCTGCATGACTGCTAATGGACACCGGGTTTCTGTACAGAGTGATGAAATGTTCTAAAATCAGAGGACGATGATGGTTGCACAACTTTGTCAATATTCTGAAATCCACTCCATTATACATTTAGAGGAATGAAATTTATGGTCTGTGAATTATACTAGACACCATCTAATATAGCAGGTTCCAGAAGTTAGGCTTATGAGAGAGACACTCAAAATTTAGAAAATCCTATTTATTAACAGATTAATATACTCTCTAGTTTTGGAAATTAATATATCCCCTTTTCCAGGAAGGAATTTAAATGGCTTCTGTAAACTATCCACTAACTAAGGTTTTTTATCATTAAAACTTCATTCACTCACAAACACCCATGGTGCTACAGTGGGGCAGGCACAGAAAATGTGAAGGTGATAAAAGCCTCTGCTGTCTAACATCTGTAGATGGAGATATGGTGGGAAAAACCATTAGTACAGCACCCGGAGCCCAGCCCTGAGCACACAGTCAGCAGTCAAGAATTGGCAGCTGTCATTGCCACAGAGAGGGGGGCTCTGAGAGACTTGGGCAGGAAAGCAGGGGTGTGATCCCATTGGGAAAGAGAGATCATTCACTTGAGCTGAAACCTGCTGGGGAACCCATTGGGAGAGGATTTAGAATGTTAGAAGGATTTAGAACTCTCAGGAAGGGAGTGGGAGTCTCAGGGTGAGTGAGCAGGGCTGTGCCTTGCCTAGCATCCAGGGAGAGGACTCAGCCAGCACCTGGCTGCCCTCCACCTCTCCCTCCACAGGGCACCCCTGTATTCCCCGCTTCTCTTCTCACTGCCCCAGAGCCTCCGGGCACTGTATCCTAGGAGGAGGGGCTGGATTTACCCTGCTGGACTGGCAAGGACAAGTAGCAGAGGCTGCCCCCTGTCTTCAGGACAAAGAAGAAATGCCATTGGGTTTTTCTGAGATTCTGGGAGAAGGGAAAAGGCACCAGGATTTCAGGCTCTCAAGATCCCACCTCTGCCCATTTTCTCAAGGGCAAAGATGGAGGTGGGGGTGGGGGCAGGCATCGCAGGCTCTGGAGGGAGGTGCTATAGGAGGGTGATTCTAAGCCTTGGTGAATTCTCTTTTTTATGTCAACGAATCCCTCCTGAGTTCAGAACATCATATTTGCCGGGGCTAAGGATGGAGCATGAAGACAGAAATTAGTCTGATCCTGGGTGCAAACTCAGGAAGCAAGGTCTCCTCGAGAAGCACACCTGGGTCATGGAATCAGCGCCTGGTGAACCCCATACCTCTCTGAACATCTGCCTCCTCTTCTGCAAAATTAGATGATAAGGCCCTTCCCCGAGGGCTGTGGTGAGGAACTGTTCAATGGTGAAGCGCTGTTCAGACATTGTGTTTACCGTCTGAGGGGGGAGATGGAGCATGAACAGTGGGTCCTCTCTGCAGGGAAGAACCTGGGCAATTAGATGAAACGGTGGCTGTGAAGGCCTTTAGTGAGCTATAATCATGCACCCATGCCGGGTGCCAGTAAGAGTATTAATATTATCTGCATAGAGGTTTAACCGAATCCCAGGGTAAAGGTTCTATCTGGGACCTCGGAGACCCCAGGGAGAAGTTGGCAGGGTGATAAGTAGGATTTGACTAGACAAAGAAGAGAAGGGGGACCAGGCATCGGGACCAAGGGAGGGGCTTGATCCATGGCTAAGAGGCAGGAAGGGAGGGGAAGAGTTGGGGCACAGGTGGGAGGGAGTGGGAAGAAGCAGGTTGGGAGGCTAGAGAGGGGCATAGGGTGGGATTACCAGCCAGGCAGAAGGGTGAGGTCAGGTCAGGTCTTAGAGAAAAAGCCCGGAATGTCAAGAAGCAGGAGTCATATCCACCCAGTCCTGGTAGGAAGGTTCAGTGAGGCCCAGCATCAAGCCTGGGGTGAGGGGGCCTGGGACAGCTGGTGGGCTCAGGCTGGGCAGCAAAGCTTCCAGAATATCAGGGTGGGTAAGGTTCTCTGAGCCCAACATTCTCTTTTTCAAATATGGGAGCAGGTAGCAGAGTGGGGTCTCGAAGTGTGTGCAAAGTCCAAGTCTCCAGATTCCCAGGCTGGGGTCCACCCCCTACACCTGGAGCAAAGTTCCAGTGTTTCCTTGATTAATTATGCAGGTGCCACCCATGGAGGTCACATGGGGAGGTAGTCAGGAGCATGCACTCTGGACCACATGCCTGCCCTGACTCCCAGCCCCCCTTATGGAATGTGTGTCCCTGGGCAAGTCATGTGCCCTGAGTCACACTGCAGTGATTTCCTTACTGCAGAGCACAATGCCCACCTCCACGTCTTCCCTAGGAATTCTTAGATGACAGAGAAAGCCTTTTGCAAGGATGACATCATAATCTTGGAAAACAAGACAGAATGCCATCTGTGGACCGAAAATGCCAGTAAGTCTTGGGAAGCAAGGAAGCCCATGAAATTGCAGCAGCAGGGAAATCGGAGCAGAAGTCACTGCAGCCCTGTGTCTGACCCAGAGGCCTAAGTGATTTCTATCCCAGAAATGCCAAGCGTAGTTCAAGCTGAGAGCCAACAAAACAAGGACAGGAATGGGATGCCAGGGTTACAGCCTCTCTTAAAGAACTTTTCCGAAGAGCAAGCACAGTTCAACCCCTCTCACTTTCTATAGGCAGGCAGCCAGCGGCAGGCCAAATCCCAGTAAATGCTAAGGAAAGCAATGAGCCAGCGTCTGAGAGAGGAGCCCAGCAGAGGGAGATCCAGGCCTCCCAGCGACTTGGCATGGTGGCAGGGAGCAAGCAGGGAAGCACAGGCAGTTCTGCCTCCGGTGAAGTCTGCCACTATGTCCACCACGGAGGAAAGCCCTTCTTTGGGCAGTTGCAGGAGTCCCCTGGCCAGCTCCCTCTCCACAGCCCTACAGGGAGACTCATAATGCTTTACCCTCATACATAGAACTCGCCCATGGGATGGGCTCATGATTTCACCATCATATTTAAGGGCAAACCTTTCAGAAAAATAGACCAAAGACTTCACAGAAAGCCCTATGCAGTTCATTGTTTCATCAGTATCTTTTTTTCTCTTCTGTAGTGATGGATGTTAACTGAGTACCGCCCAGCTGAAGACTTCGTTTCCTGGGCTTCCTATCAGCTAGGTGTGGTCTGTGGCTGGTGTGAACCCAAAACATATATACAACTCCAGGTCTTGCCCTCCCCTTTCTCTTTCCTGTTGATCAGGATGTGGGTGTGATGGTGGGAGATGGGAGCCAAATGCTGTGGATGACAGAAGAGTAAGATCAAAGATACCCATGCTGTGAAGCCACCATATCAGCCCATGGCCACTTACACTCAGACTGTTACACAAGACGAATAAACTCTGTCTCTTCTGAGCCACTCTTGAAGTCGGGTCCTTGTTATAGGAGATAGAATCTGCATCCTAACACATATACTAACTTCACAACATAGTCCTTCACTCTTAAATATGTATGGACAACCAGGATCACCAAACATTAGCAGAAAACCAACAGCAGAAAGAAAAGGCCTAAGATAGGAACAAAGAAAAAGAGAGTTTACAAAAGGAAACAGCTCAACTATAAGAAAACCCTAAAATAAATTATCATTAGTATCTTCAACAATAATTGATATTATTTCATTTAATAGAATGCAGTTCCTATGAAGAGAGAATAATCAGAGAAAAGAAAATAATTATTGAAATTTAAAAATATGACTCCTGAGAAAAAATTTAGTGGATGAACCGAGTGACACAATGGATATGGATGAAGACAGATTGGTGATCTAGACATTAAAACTAAGAAAATATCCCAGAATGTAGAGTAAAACCTCAAAGAGGAAAAAAAAATTAATGCCCATGGAGGATAGGTCCAGAAGCTTCAGTATCCATCAAATAGAGATCTAGAAGCAGAGACCGGACAATGACTGAGGGAGAGGGAGGGGTAGAAATAGGCAAAGATATAATTGAAAGAGCACACTAAATTAGGACAGAATTAGTGAAAAGGAAATTTAGACCGATTTTGTTAAAATTTCAGAACATCAAGGATAAAAAACAGAAAGCTTCCAAAGAGAATCAAAACTTACATCAGAATTTCTCATCAGGAACGTAAGAAGCCCAGGACAGTGGAGCAGTGCCTTCAAATATCTGGAGGACAATGATTTTGAAATAAGAATTCTATCCCCTCAAACTTTGAAAGCAAAATAAAGACTTTTTATGTAAGAGTTCATAAAGTTTTTCACTCAGTCATCTATATTTTCTGGAAGAAAAAAACCAAAAAACTTAGAGTTCTTTCTGTCAGTCAAAAAAAAAAAAAAAAGATGATGACATAGGATTCAAAAAAGAAGTAAAAGAAGCCATAAACTCTTTGTAGAAAAAATTGGTTGACATTTTCCTTGTAATAAAATTTCAGTTCTGTGGAATTCATACTAAGTAGTTTCCTAGGGAATATTATCTTCACAAACATGTTGTTTATTAGTTTCAATTTTTAGAATTAAATTATAGACTATATCATTACAATATAGCAGAGAATATAGATGTTATGAAACTTGACATTGTAAGAATAATATATAAGTAAACATTTGAAGATGGACGGAGAAAGGAGATGGAAAGAAGGAATATAGATGTTATGAAACTTGACATTGTAAGAATAATAATATATAAGTAAACATTTGAAGATGGACGGGGAAAGGAGATGGAAAGAAGGGAATGTGGACAAATTTCTTCTTGTTCATAGCAGGAAGTGAACAGTTGGCAGATCAGGGAAGAGCAATTTAAGTCTATTATTTGAAGATGTTGAAGGCAACTACCAGAATGACCAAAAACATGTAATTTATCAAAGATGGTGAGATTGAGTGGAAGGAAGTTGGGGGAGATGGTAAATACAAAAAAATCCCTCAGCTTTATGGCAGAATCAGTACTGGAAAGGAATGCAGATGGTTTCAAATTCTGGGGCCTGGAAGACAGTAGACTTTGAGGAAACTAACAATTTTAAAAGAAATGGACTTCATGACTCCACCACTGCTGTATCTCATCAGTGCTGTTTGCTATGCAAATATACCTGTCTTGTGACTCCAGCCATCAGATGCCTCATGACTGAGGGAAGGCTCATTCATTCACTCAACAAATGTTTACGGGGAACTCATTTAAATAAACAAATCTGAGGCCTGATTTGATTCATGACCTCAGCCTCCCACCACTGTGCTCTAACACCCGACCCTCTAACCACAATGAATTACCTGCCTTCTCACATGCTCAGTGTTTCCCCCGGCATCGTCATGCCTTTGCCCACATTAGTCCCCTTTTCTGCTTGGTGAAATACCATTTGTCCTTAGGAGCCCAGTGTACCATCGCTGAAGCCTACCCCTGAGCATTCTCTTCCCTCTCCCAACCTGTATTCGGAACCTGTTTCCATCATGGCGTCTACTACATCTTATTACCTGTTTTTGTTTGTGTCTCTCTCCTTATAGGCTTTGTATTTTTCAAGAGAAAATTTTGTGTCATTTTTAAATGGAGCATAACACACATACAATTTTGTACACATATCATATATATACACATAGTATGAAGTGCATACAACTCAAATACTTTCTACATGTACACACCCATATATATGTATGTAACTAGATCAAGATGTAGAACATTTCTATCACCCCAGAAAGTTCCTGCCTGCCCCTTCCTAGTCAATAGCCACCTGCCCCACCCCAGCAAACCACTATTCTGATTTCTATTACCATAAAATTAGTGTTGCCTGTTCTTATACTTCAATTCGGTGGAATCATACAGTGAACAGTCTATCATGTCTGAGTTCTACTACTTATTATGTCTGTGAGATCCATCCATATTTTTGTTTGTAGCAGTACTTTGTTCTCTTTTATTACTATGTCATAATTCTTGTGCAAATGTCCCATAGTTTATTTATCCATTCTATTTGTTTTAGCATTTGGGCTGCTTCCAGTTTTTTGCTGTCATGAATGAAGCTACTGTGAACATTCTTGTTTGTGCTTTTTGGCAGACACGTATGTGCATTTCTGTAGAATATGTTCTTAGGAGTGGAATTTTGGGTCATAGGGTAGATGAGTGTTAGCTTTGGAGATTTTGCCAATCAAATGTCCAAATGGCTGAGTCTACCGTCCCACCAACAATGGACATGAAGAGTTCCAGTTGATCCACTTCTGTGCCAGCATTTGGTATAATTTTGTTTGGTTCATGTTAGCCATTCTGGTGAAAGTGTGATGGACTTAATTTATTTTCCCGATAAGTAACATTGTTGAGCACCTTTTCATATGCTTATTGACCATTTAGATAACATCTTTTTTAAAGTACTTATTCAAATCTTTTGCCATTTAAAAAAATCTGGTAAAATATACATAACATAAAATTTGCCATCCTAACCATTTTTTAGTTCAATGGTGTTAAGTGTTTTCACACTGTTATGTGATGTGAATGAATCTCCAAAACTATCTTCAACTTGCAAAACTCCATGTGCATTAAGTAACTCCTTTTATTTTTCATTGCATTTTTAAAAACTTGAGGATGTGTTTTCTTTATTGTGATAGAGATAGCTTTAGTTCATCTTTGTTGCATAACAAAGCACCCTAGAACTTGGTGGCCTCATTAAGTAACTCCTTATTCTCCTTTCCCTTCTCCTAGCCCCTGGAAACCACCATTCTTTCTGTCTCTATGAATTTGACTATCATGTAATTGGAATCATATAGTATTTGTCTTTATGTGCTTATTTCACTTAGTATAATGCCCTCAGGGTTGATCCATGTTGTAGAATGTGTCCGAATATTTTTTTTTCCTTTTAAGGCTGGATAATATTCCATTGCATGTGTATACCACATTTTGTTTATCCATCCATCTGTCTATGAACATTTGGGTTGCTTCCACCTTTTGGCTATTGTGAATAAAACTGCTATGAGCATGGGTGTACAAATATCTCTTTGAGACTCTGCTTTTAATTCTTTGGAGTATATACCCAGAAATGAAATTGCTGGATCATATGGTAATTCTATTGTTAACTTTTTTGAGAAATCATCATACTGTTTTCTGTAGAGGCTGCACCATTTTGCATTCCCACCAGCAGTACACAACAGTTCCAATATCTCCACATTCTCCCCAACACTTATTTTCTGGGTTTTTGTTTGTTTGTTTTATAGTAGCCATCCTATTACATGTGAGGTGGTATCTCATGGTTTTGATTTATATTTCCCTAATGAATGACGATGTTGAGTATCTTTTCATGTGCTTGTTGGCCATTTGTATATCTTCTCTGGAGAAATGTCTATTCAAGTTCTTTGCTCGTTTTTAACCTGGTTGTTTGGTTTTTGTTTTAGAGTTGTAGAAGTTCTTTATATATTCTGGATATTAACCTATTCTGGAGGTTGCCTTTTCCCTCTTTTGATTATATCATTTGATGCACAATAGTTTTAAATTTTTATGAATTCAGTTTGTCTGTTTTTACTGTGGTTGCCTGTGCTTTAGTGTCGTATCTAAGAAATCACTGCTGAATCCAATATCATGAAGCTTTTCTTCTATGTTTTCTTCTAAGAGTTTTATAGTTTTATTTCTTAGCCATTTTGAGTTAAGTTTAGCTAAAAGTTAATTGGGTTGTCTCCCTTTTTAAAATTCATTTTTAGGAATATTTATGTTCTTGGTGAGTCCTTTGTCAAATATGTATTGCAAATATCTTCTCCCGGTCTGTGGTTTGTTCTTGTATTCTATTATCGGTATCTTCTGATAAGCAGACTTTTATTTTAATAAAGCCCAATTTATTTTCACTTTCTTTTATGAGTATATGAGTATGCTTTTTGTGAACTGTGTAAGAGATCTTCACTGGATCCAAGTGCATGAAGCTATGATGTTCTTGTGTTTTCTTCTACAAGTTTTATCATTTAACTTTTCGTATTCAGGTAAAACATCCATTTCACATTAATATTTGTGTATGGTGTGAGGTAGGGGCCTCATTCATTTTTTCCCTTATAGATATCTAATTACTTCAGCACTGTTTATTGAAAAGATTATCATTCCCCATCAAATGAAATAACACCTTAATTATAAATTAGGTGACTATATGTATGGGAATCTGTTTCCTTACTCTCTTGTTTCCATTGTTACTTTTTATTTCTCCTTGTTTTGCTACCACACGATCAATTTTGTAGTAAGGTCTATCATTTATGTCTGTTTTCCTATTATTGGTGTGGCATTGAGAAGGTCTATGTAATGCTTGAAGACTGAGTGAATAAGTGAGGTGAACTTCAAAGTGGTCATTATAGCTGCTGTACCATTGCTACTGCAGTTATATCCATCCTGCTTTGTGGGCAAGAGTGGTGGAGACCACACATAATCCCTAATTTTGTCTTTGTTTGCTTTTGGAATATAT